CTCTGCAGCCCTACCTGGTGCCAGCTTGGTCTCTTCCCATCAGCCGGGAATGCAGGGCCGGCTCTGCGGGACAGAAGGGGAAGGATGCTCCGGGCCATCCCAACCCCTCTCCTGCCATCTGGAGGCACCAGCCCCACAGAGATTTGGGAAATCACCGCTGCCCCATGCTGGGTGTGTCCCCAGGGCTCAACCTGTGACACCCTGTGCAGGCAAGAGATCCCTCAAAACACCGTGAAACTCCTCTGCTGAGCCAAAGGAGACGCAGTTTATTCCCTGGGGCCGAGGCACTGAGGGTCATTCCATGGGCAATGGAGCTGGGGAACAGGACTGAGCCCGGCTGCCCTGCTCAGAGCCGTGTGGAACCGGGAGGGAGGAGGAAAGCCACGCTCCAATGTGGTCCCTGCAGAGCATCCCTCCCACATCACCCGTGGCAATGCCCCTGCTCCCTTCTCCTGCAGGATTGCAGTGCAGGAGGGGATCCTGTGGGTATTTATTGATCAGGTGAGTCAAGGAATCCCTCAGCCACTGTCCCGGGGTCCTTCAGCAGTGCAGGGGAAGGGATCAACAGGCTCAGAGCCTGTGTCCATGGTGGCATCATTGCTGTGGGCAGAGTTTTCTTCTGGCATCTCAAATATTCTCTGGAGGGTGGCCCTCTGGGTCTTCATGGAGCAGTGCCTACAGCAGCTCTCCATGCTGCAGGGCCTCCTCCAGCTTCCCACCAAGGCATAGATGAAGGGTTTGATGGTGCTGTGGATGCAGGTGAGCCAGAAAACCACGTGGGACGACAGAGCAATGTAGCCCAACTGCTGCAGGAAATTGCAGATGCTCACACGGTGAGCAAAGAGCACAATGAGGAAGATAACGATGTCAGCCTTCTCAGGTTGCTGCTGCTGGGGGACACACTTGACATGAACAATGACGATTGTGCTGGAAATGACCATGGGTGCAGCAGAGAGGAAGAGGCTGAGGGTGCACATGGAGATGAGAGCCACCCGGCAGTGCTCGTGCTCCTGTGACTGGCACAGGAAAGCAACTGTGGGATTTAAAGTGATGACAGCATAGAAGAAGGCCCTGCCACTTCAGAGCTCTCATTACCACCCTCACCACATCCTCAGGAAGCTGACAAGTGCAGCAGAGGGGGAAGAGGGTGTGCCTGCACCTCTCTGGGCTGATGAACGTCAGCCGGAACAGTCCCATCTTGTAGGAGAACAGCGACAGCTGGAAAAGGAAGCTCATGTACACGGGGGACATGATAATAGAGCAGGACACATCCTCCAGCAGGAAAAACGGGATGGAGAGGATTGTGAAGATGAGGAAGAGGAACGGGCGTCCTGCTGGAGGAATCCAGCAGTTCAGTGGTATAAAGTACAATATCAGAGAATCCAGGTCAGATCCACCCCAAAGACACTTGCTCTGATATCTCCACGATCAATCCTTTTCTTCTCCAGCTGTTTTCCCCCTCCAGCTCTGTGCCCTGCCCCTGCTACCTGTTTCATTCTTCCCCTTCTGCACCGCTGATTTTGGGTTCTGCCTCTTGCTGAGAGCCTTTGGCTCCTCTGCCTTTGCCCTCAGCCCCTCTCTCCTCTCAATTGTGCCAGCAGCAGCACCCACCCTATGATTTCCTTCCTGGCTGGGAGCTGGGCAAGGCACTCCCCTCTCTCTGTCTCTCAGTGCTGCCTTTCAGAGGGCTTTTGAGGATGTGCCAGAGCCCCGGAATAGGGAAAACGCTGAGGAATCATCAAAAAGTGGAATCATGAAATAGAAGCATAATATATCCTGAGCTTGAAGGGGCTCATGATCATCAAGTTCAGCTTCTGGCCCTGCACAGGACATCCCAACAATCCCACTCTGTGCCTGACAGTGCTCTCCAAATGCTCCCTGAGCTCTGTTGGGCTGGTGATGTGTCCAGCAGGGCTACTCCCGCCTGGGCTGGATTCTGGATGGCGTGAGGAATCATCATGGAATGGTTTGGGCTGGAAGGAACCTTAGAGATCATCTCATGCCAACCCTTCTGACATGGGCAGGGACACCCATGGAACATTTCTGTTTGAAGTCTTTGTTTTGAATTTTTCCAATTCAATATGTCTGGGTTCTCTCTGTCTCCAAAATGAGCTTCCCCACCCTGTGGAATATTAAAATGGAGTTTCCAAGGCCAAGAGCTTTTCCCTGTGGGTTTTCTTGGTGTGTTTGCTCTAAAAACAGCGTGCAACCGGATCAGAAATCCTTGCACAGCAGTGCAGAACAATTTCTCTGCAGTTCCTGTCCTTCTCCAGCAGGTTCTGGCACAAGGGAAGACCCTGTGGAGATTTCACATGGAGCTTTGTTGCCCAGGTTCATGGGCAGGTGTTTGGGATGGCCTCTGGAAGGCTTTCCCCAAAATGCACACTGCTTTGGGGGCTGTGGGCTGCCTTGGGGGCTGTCAGCACACACGGGGCTGGAGCTGGATCAGCCTCTGCAGGATCCTCCCACTTTTCTTGGCATGTCTGGATGGTTTTAACTCCAGTGCTGTTGTAACCATGACCCCAGGCCTGGCTCCACTCCTGGTGCCTCTGCTGCTCCTCCTTGTGGTAAGGCACTATAAGGCCTAGGCCTGATAAGGGCAGAGAAGATCTGTAAAGGTTCTGGAACATTCTGCACCGTTGGCCACTGTTGGCCGACAGCCGGCAGGTGCTGTAACAGTTCCAGTCGGGTCTGTCTCGAGTACCCTCAAGGCCGTGAGAAACACCAGTGTAACTCTATGGCCAGGGGAGTCAGCACGCGCCTCCTGCAACGGCAGAACTGCCATATAAGGGATTTTATGGCGTTAACAAGGGCTTCTGAACATTAAGCTACCATTATCTGTGTTACAAAAAAGTGTAACGTTTAACTGCCGTCACCATTACGAGCCAAGGATATAAAACCCCCTGTATCGCACAATAAAGTTGAAGAGATAGCACGTTCAGCCACGTCTACGAGGTTGTTTATGTGTCTCTCCCATCTCCCCGCAAATGGCCGCTCCGACACCTCCTCTGGGGAAAACAAGGGGAGCAGGGGTGAAATGAAAATGAACCTGCCTGGAGACTGGGCCAAGGTTGGGTTTTCCTTGGGAAGAGGGAGAGGGAAGGAGAAGGGGACTTTTCATGGCAAAGAGCCTCTTAAGGGGTGGTGGCAGCATTTTCCCTGCTTCTCTCTCCCCTCCATGCCTTCCAGCCCCTGCTGTCAAAGATCAGGGGGATGGGCTGGGAATATCAGGGTGGTGAAACACTGGCACAGGTGTCACAGAGAAACTGTGACTGCCCCATTGCTGGGAGTTTTCCAGGACAGGTTGGATGAGGCTTGGATCAAACTGCTCTGCTGGAAGATGTCCCTGCCCATGGCAGGGGTTGGAACAGGATGGTCTGTAAGGTCTCTTCCAACCCAAACCATTCTAGGATTGCACGAAAAACAAAAAGCTCAGTTTGGGATTGTCCTGGGTGACACTGGAGATGAGGAAGGTGCTTGGAAGTAGAAAAAGAACATGGAAGGATCCTGGTCCTTCTGCACTTGCCCTGTTAGAAACTCTGTGTGTGATTGGAGTCCTTTTCCACACAGGAGGATGTACTTCAGAAAGTTTCCACATTCCAGTGGACAGGAAAATGGGAGACAGTCAGGGAAATCACTCTCTGCTGCGGGAGTTACTCTGTTCTGTTAATTATTAACAATTCCGTTAATAATGATTTTTAGATGTTTAATCTCAGTGTGTCTACAAAGCATGAGTCACCACCCATGGATTTCACTTTTACTACCTATTGCAGTTTAGAACACTGGCCAAAAGCCAGGCACCCACAACACCTGCTCACTCGCTCTCCCCCACCACCACTGTGCAGAGAAGAGCAAACGAAGGAAAAAAAGTTAACAAAAGTGTTCATGAGTTGAGATAAGGAACACTTGATGGACAAAACAGACACCATTTAAGTTACAAAGTGAATTTATTACTAACAAAGTCAGAGGAGGAGAAGGAGAAATAAAATAAAACCCTCAAAGACACCGATCTTCCGATCTTCTCACTCCCTCTCCCTTTCCCACCGAGAGTACAAGGCAGGGAGGGTGAACAGGGTGTGGGGTTGGTCAGTTCAGGGTGTGGGGTTGGTCAGTTCAGGGTGTGGGGTTG